CCTTTGGCTCTGTTTTTACTCATATGCAATATTTATGCTCTAAGATATTGATATGAATCAGAAACTGAAGTCTTTCCAGAGGTGTTTAGTGGCCTGCTTGGAAAAATGCCATTTCTATTTATACAAAAGTGAAGACAAAAATATTAAAACGGATGTGTTCCAATACAGTCCGTTTTGATTCCAGTTTGGATCTCCCCCCTTCTGTTCATCAGACGAAGACTTTACAAAATCCTAAATAATCCTGCTGGGCTCTGTTAGATTGCTTTTCCCACAGAACACAAAACAAAGATGCTGCTTCCTTTAAAACTCTTATATGTACGTGGTTGAAAGATTTGGCCAGCGAATTAGGAAAAAAAAAATAAATAAATAAATAAAGGCTTCCAGTGCAAGGTTTCTGTGTGCGTCGGTGGCAGGAAAGCCAATGGTTAAATCTTCCCGTACCACGGAGAGCGAGCGGCCTGAAGCCCCAGCGAGGAGAGTTTATGCAGGACTGTGCGTGGAGCTGCTCCCTGCTTGTGTAAAAATAGACGGCAATACATCAATTCCACAGTCTCTGCTGGCTACAATTCATACAGAAGGGAAGAAAACGTAAGCGGTTTCCTCGGAATCTCTGGAGTCTCGCTGGGGGACAGAGGACCTGGGCGTGTTTGCATTCAGCACAATGGAATGTGCTCAGAAAGTTTGGGCAACTTGGAAACCAGCAAAACTTTCTGCGGACTCTGCTGCGATGGAGCCGAATTGAATTGCATGGAGGATCCGAGCCGCTAACAATGAATCTGGCGAAGGATTGCGAGTGTTTCCTCTGGGTAGCTGGGGGCACGTAGGGTAAGGGGGAGGATCCAGCGCCACACGTGATTTGATTAAATAAGATATCCATGCGGTGCAGCGATACACATCTAAAGTGAAAATAATTTGGCCCAGGCCGTCCGCGAATGCATTTTTCATATCTAGCCAGGCATGCCCTGCTTCTTAACTCTTTGCTGTGTTTGCAAATGTTGTCTCCCTTTGCTGTTCCTTGCCTTAGAGGATGGTATTTGCGGCTTGTAATTGTTCTTATCTTGTTATGATTTCTTGGTGAGGTGGACTAGATATGGATAATTTATACGTCCTGTAGCTATTAGGCGTCAGGGTTCTGAGTGGCTTCAAAGTCCTAATTGTTTGAGTAGCTGGAGTGTCCTGTGGGTGGTTGCCTGGCTCGCACGGTGGGTCTCAGCTGCTGTAGTTTCATTTTTCCATCATGTATAATTCCTGATGCTGCCAGTTGGTTGAAGAAGCGGATCATATGGAAATCAGGAAGATTTACTTTAATCATCAGAATTCCCGCAGTCATGCTCACATAAGTATCAGACCCATTTGGAACAGCGGCTTTTAAAATTTCTTTTCTTGAAGAGGAGAGGTCTTGGGCTAATTGTCCGGCCATGGACTGGGTGTGAGGTCAGCAGGGACCGGCCAGTCGCTGCTACACTGCAGGCAGCCAGCTGCTAGCAGCCGTGCCTTCGTGGTGGCAGCTCGGGGAAACACCTCCGCCAGTCTGAAATATTACGAGCAGCAGGTAGCGTGGGCAGCTTTCATTTTTTGAATCATTAATGTTCGCTGTCATCCTAAAACGTAGGATGCCCTTTTGCACATAATGACAGGACAGCACGTTGGTTAATAAAGGCCTGTATCACTAGAGCTACTGAGAATCCCCGGTGTTTCACAGTTTAATGAAGGTGATGTACAATAGGGTTACTAAGATTGATAGAGACAATTCACATGACGTACACTCCGCAGGACTATCGTCTTTGCTGCCCTTTGCTCCTTTCCCTTCCCTCTGTCTTCACTAATTTTTTTTAAGAAGTTGAAATTCTTTTTTTTTTTTTTTCATTAGTATAATTAATGTGGCCAAGTCCACTCTTTTTTCTCTCTCTTTAAAATTTACCACCAATGGCAGCAAAACCTCCAAAAGGTTAATGGAGAATTATACTTAATTATAATGATTCATTATCATAGGTGCAGTTAAGCTAATTTATTGTCTGCTCCTTAACTAAGAGAAAAGTCTGTTGGGGTGACATAACATACAATAATTAGCCTTTTGTGTTTAGTAACTGCTTTATCCTCTTAAATCTTATTATAAAATTAAGACTACAATTGTGGAATTGCTATGGAAGATGCACAGAGGCAGGAGAATGTATCTCTGTAACTGTGATAAGACACACCTGTACAGATGTGGAGGGAAGCTGTAAAGATCAGCATGTCAGGCGAGGACAGTTACAGGGCTGGACTGTGAAGTCTGGCGGTGTCCAAAGGCCAAATAGAAATTAATGACAGGAGCGCTTACTACTAGTAATGTGTTTTAGATTAGCAGAATCATGCCACATTGAGGAGCCCTGATGTTGTTAGCATGTGGACATTGAAAAGAACAGAGACACTTTTTTAACCATAATGTAAAATCAAAAATGAGAAAGGAGAGAGACATAGACAGAGAGAGACAGAGAGACAAAGACAGAGAGACAGAGAGACAGAGAGACAGAGAGACAGAGACAGAGAGAGACAGAGAGAGGCAGAGAGACACAGAGACAGAGACAGAGACACAGACCAGAAAGGGAAACAGGGATATATTATAGGGCAATAAAATACAACAAATTGATCTGGTCTTTTTAATATTTTTTAAAAGTTGCTTACCAATACATATTTTCAGAAGGTAAAAGGGGTTTGAATAGGACATGCCTGAAGAGTACAGTTAAAGACAAATTGTGTCCCAGTCAGCCTGTCAACCAGTGACAGCTCAGGGTTCTAAGATGTTGTTCCCGAGCACTGCAACAGGAACATAAGCCAGAGATAGACAGCCTGTGTTTGCTAGCTTGTGTTTCTTTTTTGATGTTGTTTTTCCTTTCTGTTTATCTTTTTGTAAAAGGACTTTTCCCTTAAGCCCCACCTTGAAAATCTAGTGGATTTATTTTTTGTTTGCATTGTTGATAAAGTTTATGCCTGGTCTCTGAACTGATGGTGTTGGATAAAAGTTAATGCTATTTGTGGTGCTTGGGGAACAAGTGGTGTGGGTAAGAATGGAAGGGTGACACCCGTAAGACAACTTGGACATTGTACCAGGACAAGAGCTCCTCTTCGCCTAAGTTTCCATTTACTTAGAAACCTGTTCAAGTATATTCATCTGCAACTTTGAGTTAACTCAGATAATAAAAAGAACAGACTACTTAATGATTAGAAAGGAGTTTCAATAGAGAAGGTGATCCTTTCTCTGTATTGCCTTGTGTCTATTTCTAGGGAATCTCTTGGGCCCAGTGGTCTCAGGAAGGAGCCGCAGTGATTGCAGACTTCTCTCCTTCTCTCACCAACTGCTGGCTGCATTACTCAGTACCTACTTCTCAGCATGTGGCTTATAATCACACTGCAGCATATGACCTGTGTAATGTAGCCTGCCAGGGATGACAGGGGTGCTTGAGGAAAAAAATCTGCATAAAACTTATTTTATTAAAGATCTAAATGTCAAAGGAGCTCCTAAGCTTCATGCCCAACAGTTGTCTGGATGTGAACATCACTCCCCTGACCTTGTAAAGGAGAGGCATGAGGGTCCCAAGTCTTGAGTGTGAGACCCTCGATTTGGACTGCTTGGCAGGCAGGTGGATGAGATTCTTACGGCTCTGACATCATCAGAGGCCTGCAGTAGAACTGTCTGCAGGGTTCCTTACAGCATGCTGATGGGAACCAGCAGCTGGGTAGCTGGGCAGATTGTGGAGACCACCTCACTGGTAAGGGGGTCCAATGCAGTAGAGAGCAATGGGGGCACAATGGAAAGAATACATACTTCATGTAAGGTGAAGAAATGTATCTATCTAAAATAGTCTTGGGGATGAGCTGCTCCCCCCAAAGGGATATTTTAAATCTTTCAATATACTGAAATCATTTTATAACTCTAATAAAAAATAATTATACTGAATTCAGTTGAAGTATAATTTAAACAGTTTCCCTAAATAGTGATCAAAATGTAATTGTGGTGTACTATTACGTTCTTTTCCAGGTTCAAAGTGATGCTGAACACACACACACACACACACACACACACACACATAGACAGAGAGAGAGAGAGAGAGAGAGAGAGAGAGAGAGAGAGAGAGAGAGAGAGAGAGAGAGAGAAGAAACTTGCACACTGCTCCTAGTGAAAGCTCTAAAGGCCACATGGGAAAAAACAAGAATTTTTGTTTTTTATCTCAAAGAATTTGCTTTTGACCTGTTAAGGATGAAGTCCAGAAACTCATAAAAAGTCAAGTGAGAGTAAACAATTTAAATAATTCAAGAGAACCATAGATGAGTCAAAGGATTTGCATCATTAGCTGCTAAATGAATTATGTGGATTATAATGCTTAAAAGAAGTATAAATGGAGAAAGTGTCCTAGTGCAGTTCTTGTGTTTATTTTTCATTCAGCGGTTCTTTATTGAGTATCTGTTGTGTGTGATGCCACTCCCAAGGCAAAACAAAGCTCTGATCCTCCTTTCAATGGTATTATATGTGAAAGAGGGAGTAACATTTTATGAATACTGAAATAAAAGGTAATTTGAAACTTGCAAAGTACTCCTTACCCAAGAGGTACAAATGAGTCCTGATGATTTCTTTCTTTTCTTTCTTTCTTTTTTATTTTATTTTATTTTTTTGTGGTACTGGGGATTGAACTCAGAACCCTGCGCTTGCCAGGCAGGTGCTTATTCTACTGAGCTCTCTCCCTGGCCCAAGTCCTGATGATTTCTAACTGGCTGAATCAGAGAAGGCTTCCTGGAAGTCTGGGACTTGCCATAGATCTGGCAATGGAACACACCAGTCAGAGTATCCTTTGAGAACCAAGTTGAAAAGAACTTAGGGAGTATCCCCTAGTCACTAAAGACCCCAGGATAGCATTGGTGGTGTTGCTGAATTAACCAGGCTTAATTCTTATCACATGCTATTGCAGTTTAATAAATTCCTGCAGTTAATGAAATCTTTTTTTTTTCTTTTCTGCCTCCTGCAGTGTGCTGCTCTGGTTGGTGAAGACCAGCCTCTCTGCCCAGATCTTCCTGAACTTGATCTTTCTGAACTAGATGTGAATGACTTGGATACAGACAGCTTTCTGGGTGGACTCAAGTGGTGCAGTGACCAATCAGAAATCATATCCAACCAGTACAACAATGAGCCTTCAAACATATTCGAGGTAAGGACTTCCTTTGGAAAAATTAATTTCTCATTGACCTTGATTTGGGCCAGTCTAATGTGGTAATAGGCCTGAAGACATGATGGGTTCTTTCTCATGTCACTGAGAGTTTTCATCACAGAGACCTTCTATTTTATGGAAAAAAGAATTTGGAAAACAAATGGATAGTTTTTGAGAATGAAGGGGCTCTGAGGTGACAACAACAGGAATCAAATTATGTTGAAATAAAACGGGTTGTGAAAGAATTAGTGACGAAGAAGAAGAAATGCCTAAACCTGTTTATTCTTATTTTCCACCAAAAGAGATTTAGCAGTAAGCACTGCCTAGTATAATGAATATTATAAGAAGGCATTGCTTTTTAACCAAGGGTTAGATGTCTCTCTGTATTTCTTTTACCAAAGAAGTGAGTGGTTTTGATTATTGCTATTCCACTTTTGGTTCATATCCTTAATTTCTTTATATGGTGGAAACTTCTAAACTCAACAAATCTAATATATACTTATAAATTAGTCAAAATTCATTTACCTTTTAGTAGTGAGAATTACCTCCCAGACTTGACTCTTATTATAAACCCAACCTATAATAAAAAAATGTTAATCTACTCCTATTAAAGTGTTACTTAGAGAAAACAGGCTTTTTTTTTTTTTTTTTTTTTTTTCAAGATCAACATTCATTTACTTGGAAATAAATTGTTTCATATAATGGCAAACATGTGGTGAATACACCAACAAGTGAATTGAATAAAGATTATCAAATCAGATTATTTTCAAATTCATAGCCACCAGAATCGCTACCATCATGATACCTTTTCTGAGCTCCTACTGTGTGCCAGGTCCTTTTGTTTATTATTCTTTAGTGCAAGCATTTAGTGGCTGCTTTCCATGTTATTTTTATATAAATCTTAATTCTTAAGAATATTTTGGGCCAATAGACAGAGAGAGACAGAGAGACAAAGACAGAG